ACGCCTCATATTTGATATGGTCAGACATTCTTAAGGTATTTCGAATATTTAGTACATATTACGTAATATGTTGAGACAATTTTATTTTTAATTTGTCGACATGTAGAATTATTAATATGTCATCCGGTGATTGTATAGGTCCACCCTATCGCGTATTTATATGGTACTTATGGGGAAAGTAAATGGGACGAAATGCAAACCATCTTTGCACCACCTCCTCCAATTCATATCCATTCTAACCCTGAAATGATGGTTGTGTCTTCGAAAGATGATGATGAAGAGAACCCATGTAAGAAAACCCCGAAGCAACCTGTCAAAATCGAGGGAGTCGCACTGCCTCAAACCGACGCAGTTAACATCTCGTCAGATTCTGGCACCGTGAATGTGAATGTTTGGGACTATCTAACAAACATGTCCGACTCCGAGGGCTCGTTGAATACGGAGTGTAGCACTGCAAATTCGAGGTTTCGTCATCACGACAATGCCGCAAGCCCGCTTAAACCAAAGCAAATTCTGATGCCGAAATATAAAAATTATCCGGTAGTTTTGGTGTAAGTTCAGCGGGTTTAAACAGGCCTTTGGTTCAGAGTAAGGGTAAGGGCATCTCCGACCGGACACCATAACACCATTTTTTCATCTAATTTAGGTGTTGTTAGTCTCCCACCCAAAATTCCTATATCACAATTACAACTAAAATTATAGAGATTCGGTTTTAGCCTCCCACCGTGGTCAACCCCCATATCACCAAATACTCAAATCCTATTTTTCCACCAAATTTTTTGGTGAAGGAATTTTCATCTCCCACCGGTCCACCATTTTCCTTTTTTTTCCACCAAATCCTATTTTTCCTAGCAAATATAGAGGTGAAAATAGGATTTGGCGTAATTAACACCATTTTATTAAGTACCATATAAAATGACTATTTTAACTAATTGCACCCGATTACCAACTTATTTGCATATTTATCGTAAATACATTGGTATTAATTATTAAATTAGTTTTTAAAATATAAATACATTTGTTATTATTAATAAAACATTAATTCTAAAAATATAAATATGCTTATTTTTTATTAATTTGTATATTTTGTTGGTATTAATGTTTATTAGTTCATTTCTTTAATTAACTAATACGCTAATTGCTATTAATAAAATACAATAAGAAACAATAGAATGATTAACAAAACACACTTTAATTGATGAAATACAGAACGGGGCATTTAAATTGAACTACATATCTCATAAAATAACAAACAACATAACATGAGAACAAAACATGATAAACAATAACACAAATTATATAAATTTAAATCATCATGGGCTGCTTATTTAAATTCTCATGCCGTACTTAATAGTCTTTGTTGTCATAGTTGTTGTTGTTCGGAGATTTCGGGACATAAACATCTTCATCGGTTCCTCCACTTCCCCCTGCACTAAAATTTAAATTTCTAGCAGCTCTTGACCTGTTTCCATTGTCTATGATTTCTTGTTTCTTATCACTCCAGAATTGTTTGCTATAGGGTGTAAGATTACTCAAATCCTTACTCATAATATCCATATCATGTTCAAGAGCCTTTAATTTTATTTTTCTTTCTTTCATGTCTACTTTTTGTTTTTTAATGCTCACCAATAAATCTGCACGTGCTTCTCTTTTGTTTTGAATATGTAAGTACTCTTCATGTTGCGTTTGTATAAGATATTGGCTCTTTCCAACTCTGCTCATCATCTCTTGCCACATAGGATCTTTTTCCTTCACGAGTCTTTTTTTTTTGTCTTCGCTCCTTTCATTCCTATTGGTCTTTCTTGAGAACCGCTATGTCCAAAAGGAGACGAAGAACTATGTCCAAGAGGAGATGATGTACTATGTCCATGAGGAGATGATGTGATATTTGGACCGACAGGTTCAGCCCATTTCACGTGAAATTTTAATATTTTCCAAGCATGATCAAACTTAAATGGTTGATTTTTGGGTTCTTTGATGATATATAGTTTTCTGGGCTCTGCAAACTGCAATGGTAAGTAGTAAAAATATTGAAAGCGAATAAATTATAATGAATTACTTATAAGTATCAATAAGAGATATATTTACCATGCTTTCAACCACCACTCTGGTTTCGAGCCTTAACCTGAGTAAGTGATGCCCGAAATAATGTGCACGATGAAGCTATTTTGTCGAATCGAGAACATAACGACCTCACGTTTCTACGCTCAAATTGGTTTTCATCAACAGCTTGGTGGTTGTAGTAGCTCGCTATTTTTGCCCATAAGTCGTCTTTGCTCTGGTATGTCCCTATCTCACTATCACTTGAATATTGTATGTATGCATTGCAAAGAATCTCATCCTCGAGTAATTTGAATCCAAGACCCCTTTGACTCATTTTTTCAAAAAAATGCTCAATTATATTACTGGAGGATGAGAGTACGATTTTTAATGGTGAAGAACATGACAATTGATCATATGTATAATAAATAAATTGGATTGATAGAACACACGTGTCTCTTTCTAAGTGGTTCTCCAAATTTTGCTTTCAACTTTACATAAATTAAGTTAGTATATGATATAAAAATATGAGCTTTTAGCAAGCGGCACCCCTGTGATATGTCTAATTGCCGAAAAAGTCCCTATGTAAAAACAATTAGCACTTACCCCCTATGTTAACAAGTCAAAGTCACCCGCCCCCCTACCAGCAAATCGTGTGACATACGCGCGTTTTGTGCGACTTGTTGATGGTTTTTTGACTTGAAAAGTCTCAAATGCCCCTAAAATCTTTTTTATAATAAACATAAATTCAATAGAACTTAAATATAAATAATACAAATTCTTGGGTCAAATCGCAAAATTTAGAAACTTTTTTGAAACCCTTTTTCCCCTTTTTCTTCTCCGACGACGGTGTGGAGACCAACCGGCAACCACCATCTGCATCTTCTTAGAGTTCCGATATGGATGCCGAGAGGACATCTCCGAAGGAGTTTAGAAGATTAGGGAACGGATTTTCAGTTGACGGAGCCGCCGCCAATGGAGGTAATCGGTCAAATCGAATTCACCAACGGCGGAGGTATTATTTGAAATTCCCATCTCCAGACTTCAATTCTTGGTCGGCGGAGAGAGGTGGCGGAAATGGTGAATGATAGATGGTGGATGGCGGAGAACAGGATGGGTTTTGGGTTTTGGGTGGGGTGGGGGGGGGGGGTGGGGTTGGCTGGCACGTTTGGGGAAGAAGATGGCTTTTTTTAAGTTTTTTTTCTTTCCTTTTCTTTTCTTTTCATTATTTTATATGTTTTATTAAAACAAAAAATAAAATTCTAAAACTATAAACTTTTTATTCAGTATATATTGTTTAATTATGTTTTTTTAAATATTAAGTTTCTCTTGTATATATTTTATTTTTATTAAAGTATATCAAAAAATTTTGGGGTCTGTTTCACAATTTGGAAAAATAGTTGTTTAGGACAAGGGTACTATAGTCATTTCAAGGCAGTCAACAAATTTTATTTGGATCAGGGGTTGTGGGCTAAATAAAACCCATCATAGGGGGTTAAAGCTATTTGTTTTAACACGGGGGCTTTTGCGGCAATTAGACATTTCACAGGGGGTGTATGCAATTAACTCATAAAAATATATATAACTTTGTTGAATGCTATTTTGTAGTGGGATGGACCAAGACATGCATGCCTTGTCCATTCACTTGTCATTTTGTGCCATAGCCACACAATTCCTGCAACAAGAAAGTGATATAGTCTGCAAAGTTAAATTATTTACTGCAAAGCCACGTTAATATCTGCAAAGGGAAAATGACAAATGTATTGCAAAGCCACAATTTTTTTTATACAAAGAAAAGTGACAAATGTGTCTGCAAAGAATCAAGTCTCAAGACCCATAATTCTTATGTCTATAAATATAAGATAGTGTAAACATTATTCATCAAACACTTTTAATCACATACTCCTAGTGAACTAACATAATGAGTGAAGAAGGTGGGCCATCTCACCACATTCAAAGTCAGTCCCCGTCTTCATCATCTTTGTCTAGTAATGAATCTGAGTTGGAAGATTCTTCAAATGAGTTTGACACTCAAACTCGAAACACAAATTGTCAGTGGAATCATATCATTCAACAACAACAAATGATACAACAATATTATTTATTGCAATCTCAGAATGATAATAACTGGGGTGGAGCTGTTGTTGGCCATGCATATATAAATCGTGGAAGAGAAGCTGGCGCAGTTCTACTCAAGAGTGATTACTTTGGTGAAAATCCCACATTCGGCTCACAATTTCGTAGGCGATTTCGAATGAGTCGTGATTTATTTCAACGGGTTAGGAGGGCTTTAGAAGTACACTCAAATTCGTGGGGGAAATCTTACGACAATACAGGACGACAAGGTTTTACATCTTATCAAAACATTTGTGCTTCTATCCAATTTCTTGCTTATGGTACTTCTGCTGATTCATTTGACCAATATTTTCGCATTGGTGAGTCAACTCTAATCGAATTTGTTAAATAATTTTGCCGCGATATCCTCACGGTATTTGGGGAGATTTATCTGAGAAAGCCAAACCCGGAAGACATTGTAAAGTTGTTACAGGTTGCAGAATCTCGTGGTTTGCCTGGAATGTTGGGGAGCCTAGATTGCATGCACTAGGAGTGGAAGAATTGCCCAACAGGTCATGCACGGGCATACCGTGGACGCAACAAAAAGTGCACTATCATACTTGAAGCAGTAGCGTCATATAATACTTGGATATGGCATGCATTTTTTGGCCTCCCAGGTACAAATAACGATATTAATGTCCTACAAAAATCAACTATGTTTCAAGCATTGACCAATGGTACATCTGCACCAGCTAATTATTCGATCAAAGGTAAGAACTATAACGTTGATTATTATTTGGCTGATGGTATTTATCCTAAATGGTCAACTTTAGTACAAGCCATTAGTGTACCCAAATGTGCCGAAGAGAAATATTTTGTACAAAAACATGAATCGTACCGCAAAGATGTGGAACGGACATATATTTGGAGTTCTTCAAGCTCGATTTGCAATTATTAGAGGAGCGGCTCGATTCTCGAAGAAAGAAGACTTACATGAAGTCATGTTTGCATGCATTATTCTGCACAATATGATAGTTGAGGAAGAACACAGTGGATATAGAAACACTTATATTTTTGATGATACTCAATTTCCCACAAACCTTAACTATGAAAGTTCGTCCTCTATCCCGCCTGTTGAGCTTTTGAGAGATTTTAATAATACGGCATATGTTAGTTTTCTTGGTCGATATCGAAATCTGATAAATCAAGGAAAACACAATGAATTAAGAAGGAGACTGATAGCACACTTGTGGGATAAACGTGCTCAAATTGGTGATGTTGAAGATTGTGATGGTGATGACGATGATAATAATGGTGAATGAGATTTTTTTTATGATTTCAAATTAATTTATGTTGTAATATTTTATTTATGCAATAATTTATGAGATTATTGTTTATGTATGATTTTATTATATTTAAAATAATTTGAGTTCATGTTATTTCATGTTTAGACAATTTTTAAAAATTGATAACATAATTTTTAAATTATTTAGTTAAGAAAATTTATTACTTAGCATTGGATCCATAATAAATATTTAGGAAATAAAATATTATAAAATTACGATTAACATTAGATTTATAGTTTTGGGGCATATATGGTGAAATGCCATTGGATACCAAACCAAATCCCATTTCCTATAAGTGGTGAAATATTATTAATTTAATATTTGGTCTAAATTTTGGTGATACCCATTGGAGACCAAAACCACCATTTTTCTACTAAAAATGGTGGAAGATTAAAATGGTGTGCTACCGGTGGGAGATGAACCCATTTTGTCACCACCATAAATGGGATTTGGTGAAAAAATGGTGAGACCGGTCGGAGATGCTCTAAGGGCATCTTCCACCCATCACTATTTCCTATTTTTTTCATCTAATTCAGGTGTTTTTAACCTCCCAACTTAAATCACTAAATCAGCATTACACCTAAAATTATGATGATTTAGTTTTAGTCTCCCACTGTGGTCAACCCACATATCACTATATTACCGAATCCTATATTTTCACCAAATTTTTTGGTGAAGAAATTTGCAACTCCCACCCTACCACTATTTTACCAATTTTTTCACCAAATCCTATTTTTTCTATCAAATATAGAAATTAAAATAGGATTTGGTGTAATTAACACCATTTTATAATTAGTATATAAAATTATTATATTAACCAATTTCATGTGATTACCAATTTATAAGCATATTTATAGAAAATATATTATGTATTAATGATAGTGTTCAAAGATAAATACATA